CTCCCTTTGTTCTCAGCAGGACCTGAGCCATATGGCGGGAAATGCTCCGAACAAAAGAATCGGCTCAACACAAATAGGAGATTTGGGACCCAGACGGAAAACTATGGTAATAGTTCACATGTTGTGTATAAACTGAAAATTTTAGGATTATTATTAGTTAAACAAATAGTTTGAATTTACGGAATTAAGCTGGAATGAGCAGAAAACCAGACTATTAATTATAATGACTTTGAACCAAAATTTACAGAAGGTGGTTAGTCATTAGGCAGCACACTCTGCTGCTTTCACAAGCAGAGACAAAAAAGCAGACTGCAGTATGGGTTTGTTTAATCTAAAAGCAACTGATGCCTGTGGGAAGATTTTCAACACGGGAACGTTCACTTGGTTCAAGTCAAGGATGTCCGTGGCAGAATCGCCTCATTTGGAAGATCCTGGGAGCGCGACGGACACTCCACAAGATTACCAACGATCTTTGAAGTACCAGAGAGAAAGTCTGTATTTAACACTAGCTTGTATTTCAGATGATGAGCTATGATTCACCTGATGCATTCCTTGACACTTCAGCTCATGTAATATTTAATTCCCATGTCAGGCTCAGAGAGTCTCTCCGGAAATTGTAGCTGAAATTAAGAGACAATGTATATGCTTTTCCTGTAGACAAACATACTTCAGGATCTTACAGTGCACCAACTTGGAGGAAAAGAAATCCACGTGCAAAAACGTTCTCCAGGTTTAAAACAACCATTCAGGTAACTGTCTGACAGAAATTTTTACAACTCAGTCTTTTCAGTCAGAGGGACACGTCTCTGCCCACCTAGAAAACGTAAACTTGCCCTTAAAACTTCCCCAACCAAAACCCGCAAGATTCTAAGCAACGCTGAGCAGTCTGAAAGGGCAGTTAATAGTTCCATTTGTTTGCAGACGTGTCATTTTGCCTAACTAACCCATGATTCCTAATTTGTCACAGTACTACTGATAGGAAAGCAAACCATGCTCCCGCCTGTAAAGCGAGGAGCTGCAAGAAGCGGGTTTTGGCTTGTAGCACTGGCCAAAGCACAGCAGGGACCATGTGAGTGTGATCTCTGCGTCTCTCTGGTGGATTGCTCGTGAAGCACCTGCCATAGCTGAACGATGATCAGCCCAGGTCCCAATTCAGAAAAGGACCCAGGCTACCAAACATTCACAAGATACCCTAAGGACCACTAAGACATTTTACAGCTGTCTTGAAAGCAGAGATGAGAACCTCTGTCTTGTGTCTCGTCTTGAAAGCTTACTTCTTAAGATGTTTCTGAAAGAGCATATAGTTTCACTCTACTAAATTATGCACACAACGGTCTGTACATCTGTTTTGGCAGCAGAGCCAGGAAGGCACGGAAGTGAACAGAAAAGGAGAACGATATGTAGACAGGAGATGAAGCCGGCACGGAAGTGGACAGAAAAGGAGAACGATATGTAGACAGGAGATGAAGCCGGCACGGAAGTGGACAGAAAAGGAGAACGATATGTAGACAGGAGATGAAGCCGGCACGGAAGTGGACAGAAAAGGAGAACGATATGTAGACAGGAGATGAAGCCGGCACGGAAGTGGACAGAAAAGGAGAACGATATGTAGACAGGAGATGAAGCCGGCGCGTCAATTGACAAGAAAATGTCCTTATTTCAGTTTAGCTTTATCAACTGGAGATCGGAAGATGATAAAATTGCATATTCCAAAACTAAGATGTAGGAAGGACGCTGTAGCATTTTGAAACTGGTAAAAATGGGCATTTGTGTTTAAAACTAGTGTTTGTATGTTCGTAAGTGTACGATAAATGTACCTAATACAAATAAAGAGGTATTCTATTTTATCTACATTATCTATTTTACCTACATTATCCACAGCACAGGTAGCCTGAGCAGGCGCAGGCTGTGCTGGGCTGTGCCCTGCTGCGGCTGAGGGAAGGGGGGGTGTTTGGAACGGGGTTGCTGCCTGGAGAGAAGGAGGCTGAGGGGAGACCTTACCCCTCTCCACAACTACCTGCAAGGAGGTTGGAGCCAGGTGGGGGTCGGGCTCTTCTCCCAGGTAACACGTGACAGGACGAGAGGAAACGGCCTCAAGCTGCGCCAGGGGAGGTTTAGATTGCGTATGAGGAAAAACTTCCTCCCCAAAAGGGTTGTCGAGCCCTGGAACGGGCTGCCCAGGGAAGTGGTGGAGTCCCCGTCCCTGCACGTATTTAAAGGACGTGTCCGTGTGGCGCGGACTTCACTTCATAAAAGTGAAAAGCAAGTAAAACAGGGCTTCTAGTCAGCATGAGAAATCTGCATGTGGGTCTTCCTCATTACCCTTATAGGTAGTCACGCAACAGCAACGTATTTAAAGGACGTGTCCGTGTGGCGCTTTGGGACATGGCTTAGTGGTGGACTTGGCAGTGCTCTGTTGATGGTTCGACTTGATCACCTCAAGGCTCCTATCCAACCTAAATGATTCTACGATTCCATGATGAAGCAATATATACGTGGCTCAATGAGATCTTACGAGTTCCTGTGAGGTGTTAACTCCTCTTGACTGGAATCAGAGGACCAGAAGTGATCGGTGCTTTGTGCGATCAAATCCTTGTTTAAGATTTCCCTTTCACAGCTTCAAAGGCACGAAGATCCACAAAAAGAGGAACAATACATGCGTGTTTTCCAGATCACAGAAGCAGCCCCTATTCTATTACTTAATCCCCTCCTGCCTGCTTCTCTCCATCACCAGCGCCCCAGCGAGGCGGCAAAGGAAACTGAGGAGATTCAACATCTCGTGCGCTGAGGCCCTGAAGATTGCACTTCTGTCTTTTTGCAGACTCGCTGCACGACAGATCCTCTACACTGGTTTAAACTCACAGTACTTGAAAAGAAGTCCTGAGATAATGAGCCAAATATCTGAGGCAGAGGGCTACTGAAGGAGATTTGAACTTACCCTGGTATTATGTATGCATATACATAATCTGCTGCTGAATTGAAAGGCCCGGGGGAAAGAAATGATTTGTTGCTTTCACCTTATACATGTTAAAATATGCTAATGTTTTTCCAGATGGTACTTCTAAAAGCACATCAGACGTCTAGTGTAGGTGAATCATATTAGACAGTAAACAGATTAACAGTGATACCACCTGTATTTTATTAAATGTTTGCAAAGCTTCCAGCCTGAGATCCTGTATTCCTGAACAAAATTATATGGCTAAATTAAAACCACTAACTCCCAGCATCTTAGCAGCACTGATATTTTAAATAAGCTGTTTATTAATTATGGTAGGAAAGTCTGTCTCAAGTCAATACTCAAATGAGAAAAAAACTGGTTGTTGTAAAAGGAAAACTGAACAAAACTTCCCTGGGAATTGTGGAGATTGCTTAAAAAAGAAGGATTTTTTCAGTTTCCTCCTAATGAAGACGTGCTGATAAAAGCTTCCTTGTATAGCATTACTTTATGTAAATATATATATTTATTTAAAAAAAAATTGTCTGTAAATTATTTAACTGGCTGTGCAGTCACTAGGGGTCAGTGCAGTCACAGGAATGGGCTCGAACAACACCCAGTTGTGAACCTTCATTAGCGTGTGCTTGATTCCAGCTCTCCAGAGCTAAAGCCTCTCTGCAGTGTTCTGTAATGGCTTTAAATTAAAATAAAAGGGCCCAATAGGCTTGCTGTGCTTCCTAATGGCCAACTAAGGGAGAGGTACAACAACCTATAGTCAAAATCGCTAAATAGCTATTTTTTGTCTCTTAAAACACAGTGATGAGGTAACCCTACTTCTCTCTCATCCTATGCGCTTTCCAAAAGGCGCTTCTGTTACCTCCTGATCTGGACAGCCTTCACCACAGTTTCTCAGGGAAATAGACTTTGAAAAGAGGTGTTCCCAGACTGAAACTCTCCTTTAACCTTTCCAATCTGGAAACCTTTTAGATAATCTTAAATTCCTTTGCTTTTCACATTCTGTTTTTTTTAGAGGTGAAAATAACAATAGAAACATATAATATTTGTGGCATGTAATATTTGAGGCACCTGAGAGCACAACTATTATGCTTAAAATACAAGGGAAGTCCTGCTGCTTCTTTCCTCTTTTTGTTTCCTAAGAAAAAGGCAGGCAGAACTAAATATTAAAATTTACGGGACCTTTTGAGAAGGTAAGGTGAACATCCAGGACTCTTGACTTGGTTTAAGAACACATACACAAAAGACACTTTTGGGTTTTTTATGACGCATTTTGCTTCCCCTGGACAAAAGCAATGCCTTCAAAGGTTGGTATCCTCGTTGTTGCTGTTCATGCATAATGAAAGCTTATTAATGAATTTCCACTGTAAGGAAAGAATGTGCTTCTTACATCTTCACAACTACTTCTGCCCCCCAGAAGAATCAGCAGAGCAGATTTTGGAGATTATACTGCATGACATACTCTGACATGACCCATGGTAATTCTATTGACTTCAGCACAATTCATATTCTTCAATTCAAGTGTATTTTGACTGATCACAGCAGAGTGGCTTCCAAGGTTTTCATTGCAGCATGCATTGTAGCTGGCCAAATTGATATTGCTCTGGGAGATGAATGAGGATGTAAAATCCAGCAAGACTTTAACTTTTGAAGCAACATTTGCAAATTGGGCAAATACAGTAGAGAATTGTAGGAGGAATTATAAATCATGGAAACATGACAATCAGTTGCAAGTTAGATAAAACATGCCTCGTACCAGCTTTTTCAGTTGGCCAGTGCCAATCAAAACCTTTGTTCTGTTGGCATAGGGAGTACCTGATGGTGAAGGGAAGACAGAAGTCTTGAATAGCTTGTGCTCATAAGTACCAGACCATTAGCATTCAGAAATGAAATATTTGTTTTGGGGGTTTATTCAGTTTATTCCATTATGTTTACATCTGCAGGTCTTTCTCGTAGGCCAAAGCACATGTCAGCACGGCTGGGCGGGATGGCCTGCATCAAGTAGACACTGATATGACTTCTCGTGTCACTGCCAGCTGTCAAGAAAAGTCTTGAGGTTGTTGAAGAACTAGACCTGAACAGTTTGTGGCTGTATTTTTGGGGCCAGTATAAGGGATTGAAAAATATGATAACCAAAATACTTTGCAAATTACTTAAAACTGGATCTTTGGGAGAGGGAGTTGTTCAATGTTTTGTGATGTGACAATCATGTATTCCTCAGTGAAAATGCCACATGACAGTAGCACTGAGATTCCTGGTACACTAACGGTAAAATTTCCTTCAGGTAAGGCAGCAGCAATGTTTCAAGTCTGGAAACTGGCAGATGTTTAGCATTTCTTACCTTGAGGCCACAGATACCTGCTGTTTGATTTAAAGCATTAGAAAAACTATGAGCATGGCTTGAACTGAAGTTGCTGTAGAATAAATAGCCGCAGCAGTTGAAGTCTCCTGGTTTCCTATTGTTTTATTTGCCCTAGAGTGCACTGCACTATTTTAAAGTGACACACCTCAGGGATTCACAGCAGACTCTCCTCCGCTTGTTCCAGCATGACTGATCCAACATTTGGTTTGCTGGAAAGAGCTGTTTTAAAAGCCATTATTTTAAAATCCCTAGGATGGTACACACTAATGTTATTTAAAAGCCAAGGAATAGCAGTGCATAAGATTTACTCTAATAGACTAGCAACCACATTTTATTAGGGTACATAATGGAAATAGGTTTTAGCTTACCAGATCATATCATTCATCTCAAGAATTTGATATATGACTCTCATGAGAGCTGCTCTAGAGAAAACCAATCTCTTAATTCCCATGTCATCTCCAGGCCAACAGTAGCAAAGAGCTAATGTCCTGAAAAGAAGGTTTCCTGATTTTTTATATATATATATATAGAGAGAGATATTTTTTTAATGTACACTATTTTACTGTTGCTAAAAGTACTATTTTCCATGTTACGCGTCTTGTTTCAGTGATCTCCTTGCACTGGAAATTCATAATCTGTACATCCTTTTTCTTAGAATCTACAAGTTGCAATGCCTGCGATTTGTAGTCCCTGCATGCATAGGGCATCTATGCTGATTGAAACTACAGGATAATAAACTGGGGTTTATTCAGGCAGATTACCCATCCAGATATCCCAATAACCTGTTTCCAAGAGTGACCAAAAGAGGGTGCTTCAGGAAAACTGCAGGCATTTCCAAAGCAGGGAAATAATGAGCAGTACATGCATTGGAAAGTTTGTTTAGTAGTGATCTTATGGCTTGAAGTGAGCGATTTTTATTTTCTTTCCAAATATATTTTTCTCCTGTCTAATATTATTGGAATGGTGTCTTCCACAGCTTTTTTTTTTTTTTGTGATGTACTAAGTATATTGGATTTTAAACTCAGGTTTCAAATTCTTGACTTTCCATTAAATGATGTGCCCTTTTTTTATAAACAAGTAACTACAATGAAGACAGACAACTG